TCGCTCCCTCGCTCACTCGCTCACTCGCTCACTCACTCACTCACTCACTCACTCACTCACTCACTCACTCACTCACTCACTCACTCACTCACTCACTCACTCACTCACTCACTCACTCACTCACTCTCTCACTCTCTCACTCACTCACTCACTCACTCACTCACTCACTCACTCACTCACTCACTCACTCAGTCTCTTTCTTTCGTCAGGGCTAGGGTGCAGGGGTTTGACCCCCTACACACACACACACACTCTCTTTGCTTTGCTTTGCTCGGGGCTTGGGGTGGGGGCAGGCCCCCCGCCCCGCGCGTCAAGCGCTGCCCCATCCATCATTTTCGACGGATGGGCTCGGCTGACACACACACACACTCTCTCTCTCTCTCTCTCTCTCTCTCTCTCTCTTTCTCTGACACTCTCTCTCACTCACTCTCAAGCACACAGATGTCCGCAGGTCTGAAGTCTCTTCTGCATCTGCAGACACCAGCGCCATGCTAGGGGCTTGGCTGAAGCAGGCTTCTGATGATCTCAAAATCATCCTCAGGATGCTTTCGCCGTGTCTCCAATTCCACAGTGTTCACCGATTCGTCTCCGCATTCAGCGAAGAGACCACGGCTTGACATGTTACAGGCTGCTGGATTCGCGAGCAAGCAAGCGCAAGACCGTCGAAGTTAACAAGTGGCTAGATGATGTAGTGCATGAACTAGGCCGGCATGATTCGGGCTCCAAGTGGGCTTGAAGTGGGTGCGAGAGCAACGTACGGGCTGTAAGAGATGTTATGAGACATATTCCTCAGCAAGTCAAGACCGGTAAGATGAAGCGCCTCACGAATCAGAGCGAAGCCAGAGCGGCTCCAAGCCAAAACCGCGGCAAGGTTCGCATTCAAACAGCTGTCTTCAGTTCACTGCATGTCCCTATGATTCAAGAAACAATCTCCCGAACAATTTCAAGAACATCCATCATCCATGAAACTGCTCGCAAGACCTGCCTCTATCTCCGCACTCTCATCAGCCTGCCGGGCAAAGGACTGGAGGCCCAACTGATTCAAGCATGGCCTGAAAGGCATAGCCAATTATCACGATGAATATCTCGAGGGGCCATGTTACGAAATCCAGGCTTCCGGCTGCACTGGTAGCTCGCGTTCTCATGTGCCTTGCTGCTGACCTTCCAGAAGCTCCGCAAGTGCTCGAGTCTCTCCTGGCAATGGAGGTGGCGTTCGAGACCCTGGAATCCTGACTGAGTCGGAAGTTCGGCAAGATTCGGCAAGGCAAGGAAGGATTTTTCTTGACATGATGTTAAAGGAGGGTCCTCCCACAAGTCATCCGGAAACGTCTTGTTGACGAGCACCTCGTTGAGAATGTGAGATCTGCCCAGCAGGCAGGGCAGCAAGTCGAAGGCTTTGCCAGCGTCGCGCTCCTGTTGCATCTCAGCCGTTTGGCATGGCGCTGAAGGCTTTGGGGCACGTGTCTGCGCATGTTGTCCCAGAGGTTTACCAGCCTTGCCAGCCAAGGTCAGCAAGTCGGGGGAACCTGCACCAAGGAGTACATGGGCGGGGGTCACGTCTCTGGCCTCTTTGGGTTCCTCAATTGAGAGAACTGACCAAACTTGCACAAAAATCCATTGCAAAAAACAACGTAGCGCCCGCTCCCACCTGCCAGTCGCGCACCTGGGCTTACGAGACCAAGGCATGCCCAAGATGTAAGCCCGAAGCCCTAAGCCCTGAGCCCTAAGCCTTAAGCCCTGAGCCCTGAGCCCTGAGCCTTAAGCCCTAAGCCCTGAGCCCTATGCCCTAAGCCCTGAGCCCTGGTCCCTGAGCCCTGAGCCCTTACGGCCAGACTTGCCGGGAAGTTTCTTCTCTGCGTCCTGTCATCTCAAGATTTACTGTTGATTGGCAAGAAATGGGGGCATTTGGGCCATATATATACCCTTCAAGGGATTATCCGCCGACCTCAGCTTGAGCGGGGGCGGCGTCAGTGAAGACCCCTACCCCCCCCCCCCTTCCCTTACCCCTTACCCCTTACCCCGTACCCCGTACCCCCTACCTCCTGCCAGTGTGATTCAAAAGGCTCCAGTGCACGCCCGCCCTGACTGCCCTCACCGCCCTCGCCCCAGATCCCCTTCCCCCTTCCCCCTACCCCCGACCCCTTACCTAGGAGGGGAGCACATGTTTGTCAGCGTGAATGAGATTTCTGCTTGGGGGTGCAAGTGGGTTCTGACCAAACCTTGGAATTCGCGAACCCCCAGCGTGCACGCGCCCGAGATACGACTCTGCACAAGAAGATACGACTTAACCTACCCGCTTGGGTTTTTTATTGTTGTTTGAAGTGATCTTAGCTAGGGTTTAAAGGGATTTTTGGTGTGTGAATGGCGTTGTTGATTTTTTTATGGTTTTCAGGTGGTTTTAAAGGAGGTCTTAAGGGGTTTAAGGGCTTTGAGAGTTTAGGGCGTTTTTACGGATTCAGACCTGAACACCTGCTTTTCTAGCAAAATGTCATTATGGAACCATCAGATTTCAGCGCTAGGCCTTCTCCACCGGTGCGACCTCTTTGGCCTTGGAGGCTTGGGCACCCCCAGTTAAGGCGCAAAGATTCGGATCTAGGTTAAGGTTCAAGAGGCTTCAGGAGGCCACGGTTTTGGTGCAGTCTCTCTAGCAGCTAAGGATACGTGATGAGGGCTTCCTGCATCTCACATATCCGAAAGCCCACATATGCTGCACATAAGAGACACAATATTGAGTGAGGCATGGTCACACAGCACAGGCCCCTTTGTCAAGAATCTGCGCGTGTTTGTTGTGATTTCCTGAGGCTGCAGTTGATGATGTTGTGCTTTTTGCGCCTTTTCTGGCGCTTGGCTTTGGTGCGTGTATTTGGGACTTTGTGTTTGTCCCTGCTTTCTATTTTGCTCGATTTGGGGCCCGCGGGGGCTGAAGGCATGTCAACGTGAGTATGTCTTGATTTGCTGGTGCTCGTTTTGATCTAAGATCTAAGTGTGTAGTACAAAAATGATTGCAGGCTAGATTGCTGAACCTGAAAAATAGCATGACGGGATACTCCTGCACAAGGAGTGACAAAGGCGATAGAGAATGAATTGCACTTGTGGGGATGAGGTTTATGGAAACGGGATCGGGCTTGAGCTTGGCGGCAGTGTGCATGTAATGCAGCGTATGCTGACCGCATGTTCTATTCAGTTCCAGATGACACACCGTTTACTGTTCAGAAAGCCCTCCGTCAACAACAACGCCCCCAATCCTAGCCAATATTTCCTTCGTCGCGACCCCAGAAACCACAAGGCCGTGTGAACATCCCAAAAGGCGACATACTGTCACATACTGCAAGATCCTGAGCATGGCATGAACTTGTCATGAACAGCCATCTTGACGCCCTCAGTCCACGGCCCGGCGCAACTTGCGGTACCAGCGTTGCCACACGGCCCTCACGCGCGCCCAAACAACTGCAAGCCCAGAAGTGCTCTACGAAGGCTACCGAAGGCGACGGCTCGTAAAAGTTGGGGTCTGATTACCTGGACCCACGTGCTAAGACCCTCCACCAAAAGACGACACCACCCGAGCGTGCGGCTCGGGCGTGAAGGAGTGCGGCCTCGTGAGGAGGGCCTGGCATCAGCGAGATCCCAGTGCCCCAGAAAATGCTGGTGCTCCGGTTAGTGCGTGGCGTGGGGTGGGTTGTGTGCCAC